GAAGCAATCAGCAGACATCTGGTTCTCAAGTCATTTGGTTCAGTTTTCACAGGCAACACTTGTATATTACTTTTTACACTTTCCAATCTGACAATCTGATGTCCCCTGTCTCCTATCTACCCACTATGAAAGAGAGACTGCATATAAGACTGTACTAATGAATTTTTGTGCCCATTTTTTTTTAAGTGACTGAAGCTTAAGGAGGTATTAAGTAGGCTTTCCCTGGTTCTCACAAACAGTAGCAATACTCTAACAATTGGCAGGTGGATTCTACAAAGAAGGCTGTCCAATTACTTCTCACTCAGGTGTGATTTCAAGGCCGCCCCACCCCCACCCCATCATTCCAGTAGGCCTAGCGATAAGGTAACTTACTAGACCCCAAATATGTGACTTTTTGATCTTTCTTTTTTGGGGAGGTGGTTCTTGTTTGTTCTGATCTGTGCCCTGTCTTTCCATCTATGGGAAGCAGCTGCCTGCTATGCTCACCACAACCCTTGGCAGGACATTACTGTTACCGTACGAAGAATTATGGGCGCGGGAGAAGCTCAGGGTGCCCGGACGGCACCCGCGTCAGCAACGCCGAACTGTTGGGGTGCACCTGGCATTGCTTCCCCCGACCTGCGGTGACCTCAAGTCGCCTCGTTCACACCCAGCCCCCCCGAGGCGACGAAGGAGGGGGGTTGGATTAACACAGGACCTCAATGGACCTAGGAAGCTTTGAGTCACAAATAAATTGGGCAACACATCAACAAGCTATAAAAATATACAGAAAACTAGGAATCTATTTTATGATATATCATATAGATTCTTGTAATACGCCATTACAAGCAGAAATGATCCCTCAAATAAGGAGAATGTTAATATAAAAGGAGGACCACAGTCACCTAGGTTAATGCTGACTTCAGCAATGCAAAATATGGATACAAGATGTAGTAAACTATTTTAAAGAAGCTAAGGAATTAGATGGACAAAAATCATATACATTTAACACAATAGCATTGCCATTGCCAGGGCTGAGTCGATTGGAGCCTAGAATCAACTCCAATCGGCAACAGGGAAACAGAAACCCCTCCAATCGTTGTGCCTGAGAGGAGGGTTATGTCCCCAGGGCCCCAGAAATTTCCAAAACGGAAATTTCCAATGTCCAAATATAAACAGATTAGAAAATGCAACAGATGGCAGAAAAGCACAAACATTCAGGGGAAGATCACAAACACCATACAGAACATAAACACCAAACAGAACACAGACACCTTACGGACACAAACACCAGGCAGAGGAAATGGCAGAAACCAACAAAGGGTAATAATACCACAGCAGATAAGATATCCGAAAGTAGACAATTCCCAGTGGAGGAGACAACCAATGAACAGAAAGGGCAATTACAGACCACAGTACAGGCAATATCAAATAAGACAGTAAAGTTAATAAATAGACCTAAAGGTAATAGATTATATATAAATTTAGCATTATCAGAAAAAGAGAAGGAAATACCAAAAGTATATCAGTGGGAGTTAATCATAAAATTAGTAAACCTAATCATAGCATAATAGGAGTAGCAAATGTAAGCACACCAGCACAATGGAAGATAATGTTCGCACATTTATGGAATAGAGAAATGAGACTGATAAAATATTGATAGCAGAAATACCACATAACATACTAGGGATGGATGAAATCCCAAACATCCTACCCTATTGGATAGAAAATAAAGGAATAAAATCAATAAAAGGGCAAGTGTATTTAGTCAGTATAGAAATGGAACCAATAAAATTACCAAAAATAAAAAATTCATATACTAAACAATACCCAATAAAATGAGGACACAAAGAAATTAGTGAGAAGGTAAAAGAATTATTACAGGAAGATATTATTGAACATACAACTTCCTTTAAGTATAACAGCCCTATATAGCCAATCTTAAAACCAAATGGCAAATGGAGATTTACAGTAGATTACAGAAATATTAATAAATTAACACCCCAGATGCCTGGAGAATTACCAGACATCACAAGTATCTTACAACAGATACATACAAAAAATATTAAAGTTTTGGAACAATAGATCTATCAGATATGTTTTTTGCCATCTCAATAGCAGAAGAATCTAGAGAAATACTGTTTATGTGGGAGTCGCAACAATATCAATTTAAGCGTCTATCACAAGGATATAAAAACAGCCCAATAATAGCCATATCATATTAAAACAAACTTTAAGAGATGTACCAGAAATAGAAGATATATACACCTACGTGGATGACATACTAATAGCATCCACAAATAACGAGACCTTAAAACAAGATATGGAAATAGTAATCAAACACCTCTTAAGAAAGGGATGGACCATAAACAGAGATAAAGTATAAGGACCAGCTAAGGCAATAAAATTCCTAGGCATGTTAATATCTACAGAAGGCCAAAAAATACCAGAGCAAGTAATTGATAAAATCCAAACAATAGGACCCCCTAAAAATAAAAAAGAAGCCCAACAGGTAATAGGATTATTTGGATATTGGAGAAATCATATACCATATCTGAACCTAATATTACAGCCAATATATAGAATAACCAGAAAAGCACAGGATTTTATGTGGACAGAAGAGCAAGAAAAAGCATTACAATTATGCAAACAATATATAAAAGAATATAACAATTTGCATAACTTAAAAGGAGATACTATTGTGGGGAGCAACTCGGACTAGACTAAGTTACTGGAATTAAGACTTATTCTATGCATCTGCTCTCCCACAATATGGCGCTGAGAAGGGAGAAACAGCTTCTACACAGCTGCCTCCAGTTCAACCAATAAACTGTAGGACCTACTCCTGATTGGAGGAGAGCAGCGTACTCGGCGTGTGGGTAGCAGAGTTGGGATTGGTGGAAGAGGACTATAAAGGAGGAGAGAGACAACATGCACCAGGAACATCTAAGGGGAACATCTAAGGGGAACACCTGTGCAGCCCCCGAGAGAGCCGGCCGGTGGTATGCCGCTCCCCCACGGAAGTGGGGAAAGTGGCCAGGGGGAACCGCCCTTCCACGGAGGTGGAAGGGACGGTAGCCAACCCGGGAAGAACCAGCAGCAAACCCAGGGAGGGCCGAGCAGATAAAAGAACAGCGCAGGGTCCTGTGTCGTTCCTCCATGAAGAGGGGGAGCGACAACTATCATAGATATAATATATAAGAATGACTATATAATAATACCTCAAAACCCCAACCTGTAGGATTTTACTGTAAAAGATTTCCATTTGTAGAAAATATATATTCATTATTTGAAAAAATTGCATGGACAGCTTATGAAGCACTAAAAATGACATCCACTATGACAATAGGAAAAATGATCCTACGAACACCAATCACGTTAAAGGATTGGATAAAAATGAAACCAAAAGAAACACAAGGCTTAGGATGGGAACATAAAGTCCTGATATGGCAATGGTATCTGAAACAGTTCTTTGAGGAAAATAAGGCAAAAACAGGAACTTAGAAAATTACAGAAGAAGTAGCACAAATGCCCATAGCTACATTGCCAGACATCCCCATAATAAAAGTCAAAAGAAATCTGCAACATGGGGACCAGAATACAGTAGTGACTTAGAAAATGCATGGTTCACAGATGGATCTAGCACAGTAGATAAAGGAATTACAAAGTGGAAATCAGCAGCTTATAATTCAAATGAAGATATATTATTAATAAAACAAGGAGAAAATAAATCAGCACAACATGCAGAATTAATAGCTGCAGAACTAGCCATACAGTACACCAAGGAGCATAACCTAAAAACTATATATTTTCACAGACTCCTGGTGCTTAGCCAGTGGCCTGGCAATGTGGTCCAGTAAATGGAAAATGACAGATTATAAAATTAATGGAAAAGATTTATGGTCCAAAGACATATGGAAAAATATAGATGATATGGCAAAAGAAATAAAAATAAAAGTAACACATGTAGATGCCCATACTAATAGCAGGATGAAGCAAGTAAATACAATGACATTGTAGATAAACATTCAAAGATATGGCCATGAAATTACAAGGGAAGTGGCATGCAGAACAGCAGGAAATACAAAATTAAAACTAAAAAGACAATGGGAAACAGTGAAACCAGAGGAAAGATACACCCACAACATATACTACAAATTCACACTCAATTAGGACATGCAGGAACTCATACTTTGTATGAGTGGTTCCAGAAAAGAAACTTAAAAGTTGCCTGGAAAGGTATTAAAAAAGCGATAAGGCTATGCACAACATGCCCAAAAATGAAATTAAGATTTAATCTATATAAAATGCTTGAAACACAAGCACACTATAAAAGCTTTAATTATAGAATACAAATAGATTTTATAGGACCATTAGCAGCATTTAGGAATATGTATGTATGTACTATCATAGACACCTGTGCAGGACTAGGGATGGCAGTTGCATCAACAAAACCTAACCAAGCTGTAGCAATTCAAACAGTGTTACAATGGTGCGCAGCATATGGAATACCAACAATAATAGAATCAGATCAAGGGTCACATTTTACAGGGAACTTAATAAAACAAATGATAGATAAGCTAGGACTTCAATGGAATTATCACCTATCTTATAATCCCACAGCATCAGGGGATATAGAAAGGTGGAATGGAATACTGAAAAATGAATTAGAAATGCATAAGGGAGACAACCTAAAAATAGCACTACCTAAAACAGCAATGGAAATAAATACTAGATCTAGAAGGAATCGACCATCACCAGTAGAAGAGGCCATAACTAGACAAACATCACATCTACCAACCCTATTGGATATTGGCACCAATAGCAAGAAAATATATAGTAACATCCCATTTAAAGTTATGCTAAAAAGCAGGAAAGATGCAACAATAAAACCAGCAGAAATAGTAGCCACAGGTCAAGTTAATACAGTATGGACTATAGATAATAGAGGAGTGTTAAAGTTAACCAAAATTAAAGATATACATTAATCAGTGAAACACACAATATGTGTTTTCTCATAGACCAACCATGGAGCAACAGGAAGATACAGGAAACAACGGGAGAGACCAAACTAAAGATGCCAGCAAGAACCCCAGAAAACACTGCAGAAAAGTAGGGATAAGAACTATAAGACTAATGACTATGTTAATAATAATAATGAGATGATGATAAAATACTCAAAACAGGAGGAGGTGAAAAAAGAAATAATAATACGCTACCCCACCACAGCATACATAGATGAAGGAAAAATTGTGGATAGATGGAGATGTAATTATTATAGAAATACATTATTCCATATGGCCCAAATTTTCTGTGCTAAATATAGGCATTGTAGACATTATGGAGAAATATATGAAGAAGCATGTGAGGAATATTATAAAGCAATAAGACAGCTCCCTCCATTAGCCCATAGATCATTAGAAGACATAAACAACACAAATATAATGGATAATAGCCCATTAAGATGCACTTATACAGAATTATATAGGAATACAACTTCAGCAATAGCAATATATTTAGTTCATGCCAATACTTTGGAAAGTACAGAAATGCATCTTAAAACAATGCAATAAAAAATAATATGACCTACTACACACATGAAAGAGTAGCATCAGATGATATATATTATTGTAAATAATATATATAATATATATATCATCATATATCATTGTAATAATATCATATATTAGTGTAATAATCATATATTATTGTAAATATATATCATCTGATATATATTATTGTAAACTATCCACACAACTTAGATTCTTACCCTTATTTTTTGCACCAACACTGCAAAAAAGATCATGTTTAGATCAATGGGGGATAGATAATCTTGCAGAAGTGTTACTACAGTAACACCACCAACAACAGAAACCAAAATCTGGCCTCCCCCACCAACAGGCGATACAGTCTCAGTAAAATCTTTACAACCTAAGGTTAAGATACACACCTATAACCATACAGAAATTTTATTTAAATGTCCTGAATACGTATGGGACAAATTCCCAAGAGATACTTCTAGGAAGAACACCACAATCTGGTGCACATCAGGCTTTCCGAACCTCCCATACTATGGGATGTTCAGAGTATTAAATGCGTCTGAGGAATATAGTGTACTTAACAAGTCATTTCCACCAATAGAAACATGGGCAAATATAATGGCATTAGGTATAAATACATATAAATTCCCGTTAATACTAACAGACCCTATACAACAGCCATACCAGATAAATAGTGCTTACCTACCATGTCCAAGGCTACAGTTTAAATGTCAACATTTTGATATACTCTGTTTTTGCAACAGTAGTAATAAATAGTAGTAAAAGAAACACTCAGGATGAGAATAAATATAAAAATGTTAAAAAAGGATTTACCTGCTTTGAATATTATAACAAAAGTAAAGAAACAATGGATATGAAAACATTCTCAGAAAAATACAAAACATGGTATGAATTCCCAAATAACCTAGCAAAGAAATTCACGATGGAGTTAGGGCTGGATAAGATAACAAACTATGATATAAAGATTTTACAAGTGAATAATTCACATTTTATGAATGAAACATTAGTGAATACCACATGGGAATTTACAGCTTTATTACCATGGAAAAATATGTCCAAACAAATGTGGACAATCACCCAAAACAATGATAATAAACAACAAAAACAACCAGATTAAAAAAGACATGATTATTTTACAATAATTTTAGAAACAACCCCAGAAACACTTACAAAAGCAAGTAGATTAACAAAATTGGTAGACAACCTACATAATCCTAATTTCTCTAATTATCCAGTAGACCCACTCTGTCGACCGAAAAGACCGTCATGGTTCCTATGTGATACATTAATGACAGATAATAATACATTAATTTTTGAAATACCTATGGATGTAGAAGTAACAAATGAAACCATTCAAATACCATATCCAGATAAAGGAAGAAATTAGAAAATAACAAATTCAATTACAGTAGTAAAATTTACAAATTTACAATATTGGAAACACAAGTAATAGCAGTCAGAGAATGTGATCGAATAATAGACAATAAAATAGTGAGATACAAAATAAAGGATGCAGATAAGAGAAGCCTCAAATGGTGGGTGACAGCAGGAATGGATTTTGATAATATACTAAGTATCAAATCCAACACACTAATGTACCATATCATTTTATATGATGTTACCTAAATGGAATGAGTCAGATAAAATAATACAATATGATTTTATAGCACGTGCTCCATCACTAACAAGAACGGTGAGGGCAGATACTGGGATCTGCAAAATCATATATATATATATATATATATCACCTAAGAACTTTCAAAAATGTAACAATCAGGTGCCATGTATTATAGATAGAGGAGGAATAAATGAAACACACAAATTATATACAGCACATTACACCACTGGGTGGCAATTAATGTATAAGTACCAACACCCATATGAAGTGCTGCCTGCACCATACACCATACCAGATATGAATGCACCAGTACAATTAATAATACAATCCATAATACAAAAAATTAGTGTAACAATAGACATAGCAATCTTTTCAACAGCATTACATAAGCCATGTCCAGAAGCAAATTGGCTTAAACCTATAACAAACATAAGACCAGGAGGGTCAAGAAGGAAGAGAGAACTGTTAGAATGGATAGCAATAGGGGGATTAGCAATAAGAGAAATAGCAAATGCAAAGGCAATAGAAGATCTGGATTATGAATAACAACAATAGAGAAAATCAGAGATAAGGAAATACAGGGACTAAAAGCAATATTAAAATCCCTAACAACTATAAATGAGATTTTACATCATGAACAAATTGTTAGACAACAAATTATAACTAATTTATATAATCAGAATTATATGAAAAAAGATGAAAAGTTACAAAAGAGATTAGATGAGCTATTTAGGGAACATGAGTGCCATCAGATATTAATGTTACAACAACAGGCACTATCAGATATAAAGCAGTTATTGAATACAGGAAAAGGAGAACATACAGATACTTATACAATATTGTTAAATCCTAATGAAAGATCATATTGTAATGAAGTAGAATGTAAAATCTCTATTATTAAATTAATGTATACCCAAACATACACAGGATATAGATCAGGACTCTTGTATAAAAAGATAGGGTAAAATTTCATACAGCCAGTGAGAGGAGGAATAATAATTAATGGAACAAGTATACCCATGGAAGCATTAACCCCTATTGCACCCATGACTTATCTACATAATCATTACCTGAACATACATGATATGCATACATCAAAGGTTATATTTTTAGACCCAGAACCAAGAGTGATATCCATAGGGAATAATATGTTTGCAGTCTGTACTCCAGAACCAGCAAACGTGACATTCCCAGGATGGGAATGCCAGGACAAAAATGGCATAACAATTCCATATTCCAGTTTTCTCAATTTTAAGTCTATTATAATTATTATGATCATGATTTTGAGGATAATAATCCAATTGAGTATACCAATGATACAGAAACCACTACATTAGTTTGGAAAATATATGAAATAACAAAAACCTTAGAACCAGGATGCACATTAATATATACCACACTTGAAGTCACATTGCACACAAAGACCAGAGAGTACACAGAATATGCAAATAACCCTATTATAATAAATCATGTGCTACAGACAGCAGAATTATATGAGGATAAGATAGAAGATAAGATAGACATACAAAGATCAGAAAAATTAGATTTACAAATTAAACATAACATAGAACAGTTAGTAAGGCAGACCACCCTAATAGAGACCTAGAATCATTAAACAAAACCACAGGAATAGTGTCTAACATAGTACACGTATTAGAAACAGATACATTAGCATATAAGCATAATGCAAAGAACACAAGATGCACGAGGGCAGATACAGCATGGCGTTTACTACATTTTGATGTTGTTTGTCTTCATCTTCCAGACTTCTGGAGCGACATCAAGGAACTCTTCCACTGTGCTGTTATCATAATCATAGCGATAGGGCCGGCGCCGCGGCTCACTAGGCTAATCCTCCGCCTTGCGGCACCGGCACTCCGGGTTCTAGTCCCGGTCGGGGCTCCGGACTCTGTCCCGGTTGCCCCTCTTCCAGGCCAGCTCTCTGCTGTGGCCCGGGAGTGCAGTGGAGGATGGCCCAGGTGCTTGGGCCCTGCACCCCATGGGAGACCAGGAGAAGTACCTGGCTCCTGCCATCGGATCAGCGCGGTGCGCCGGCCATTGGAGGGTGAACCAACGGCAAAGGAAGACCTTTCTCTCTGTCTCTCTCTCTCTCTGTCCACTCTGCCTGTTAAAAAAAAAAAAATCATAGCGATAGTCATAATCAGACTACTGCCTCGCCTGCGAAGGCTTATTTCAGGCTTCAGAAAGAACAAGCACTAAAGCTATTGAAGTTTACGGAAAGGGAAGAGAAAAAACGGATAGCAAAAATAAAAAAGGAAGTAGGAAATATAGACTTCAGGTGAGAAGACCGCTACCTGTCAGTATTAGATATATTCGATATAGAAGTAGCAACAAATCCTGCGGTTTGCCGAAAGGCGGCGATTCGGAAGCCGCCAGGCCGAGGGTGGGCGCGGCGGAAACTGCCGAGGTTTGCTGCAGGCGGCGGCGTCCGAGTTGCCCGGAGGTAGTTGGTGGGGTGGTGGTGGCGGCTCGGCTTCGGCGTTCTCATGTCGCCATGTCTCTTTCAGCTGTCATGACCGGAGGCGGGGCTCACAGCCTTACCAGGTACCAGCCGAGGCCAGGGCGCGGGGACTGCAAGGCGCAGGCCCCGGTGGGGAAGGGGAAGGGACGGCTGCTCGACCGCAGGCTTCAGAAGTCGCTGCGGGCCCGTAGGCCCACAGGAGCCCCGCGGGTCCCCGGGGAGTGCGGGGCCAGGTGCCTTGTGCGCTCGGCCGCGGGTCTTAGGGACTTACGGCCACGGGGACTCGAGAGAGCCCAGTAGTTTTTGGAGGGGAGGGGTGGGGGAGGTGGGGTGACTGTCAGCCAGGCATCCCAGGCCCGGTTAATTTGGGTGTGGAGGGATCGCTGGGAGGAGGTGGTGGGCGCCACGGGAGAGAACTGCGTGCTTGCTGGGCACGCGGGGCCCAGAGAGTTGCTGTGGAGGCCCGGGGAGGAGCCGAGCGGCCTACGGTTCCCGCCTCGGTCCTCTGTGACGGACAGCACCTGCCCCCGTGGTTTATTTTGGGAGAGGGGAGGGGGTGGTCGTGTTGGCCCAGATAGCTGCCCTGTTTAAAATCCTGTGTTACTCTGCTTTTTTGAAATGCATTTTACTTTCTTTAATAGGAGGTGAAAGTCCTAAACTCAGTACAAGAAGGTATGATTTTAATAAACATATGTAACTAATGAAATGTAAATAATTAACCTTTGTTGAGTGTTCTACTCTGAATTTGACAGATATCGTGTACTTAATTTTCAAAAAAATTATTCAAGGTATAAAAATTTCATATATACAGATTTAGGAATACAGTGATACTTCCCACCCTACTTTCCCTGCTGCCTGCATTCCCACCCTCCTCCTCCCTCTCCTATTCCCACTCTTAATTTTTACAAAGATCTTTTTCAGTAACCTTGTTGTTAACAAGTAGGTGATTCGCGATTTGATTATCAGCCTGCCTCTTCTAAAAATCTGTTCTCTTGCCCCTTAGCATAGAATGGTAGACACTTGTACAATACTGGGATTAGGATTACAGGTCCTGTTCAGATCAATTCAAAAACTTAGATGCAGTTAAATGTTAACTCTGCCTTAGAATTTTGAAGAAGCCTGGTTAGTCCAAGATTTCCTCATTTGCAGTGGTAACTGGTATCATGTTTAGCAATGGTCACAGGACCATAGTTTGTAACAAAGACACAAGAAAAATGAGTCATAGCCTAATCTTTGCTGAGCAGAAATATCTCATATACACTGTTACATTAAATACATTTGCGTCTGTTTATGTGGTGCTTGTAATTGATGTTCCTACTTACTGATTTCCCAGAGTGCTTTTGCCTTTCATATGGTCACATGTAGTTTTGTTCTTTTATTAGAGTTGTTTGTTCTTTATGATAACTCAATACTTTTGAGTTTTTTAAAATAATTTAAGAATTATTTGTTTTGATAGGGGAAAGAGAAGTCAGAAAAGGGAGAGCGAGAAAGAGAGAGAGATTCCATCTTTTGATTTACTTCCCAAATGGCTGCTATGGCTAGGGTTAGGGCAGGCAGGTTGCAGGGGCCAAAGTACTTGGACCATCTTTTGCTTCTTTCTTGGGTATGTTAGCAGGCAGGTGGGTCAGAAGAGGAGCAGCAGACACAAAGTGGTGGCCATATGGAATGTTGTCATTGCAGGTGGCAGCTTAACCCACTACACCACATTGCCTGCTCTATATTTTACTTTTTTCTGCTTTTTTTCCATTTTTTCTTTTCTCCTATTTTTTCCGTTTCTGCCATTATTATTCCCTTTCTTTATAGACAGAAGCAAAAGCACATAGAATATCAGGATTTTAATGATTCCTAGAACATAATAAAAACACTCTGTGTTTAGCACCCTAGCAAAGTGGTTGTTCAGGTGGGACATCTGAAACTCAAACAGATTAAAATTTATTTGGATAGAGTGAGTGACAGAAATGAGTTTTGATTACAGTGTCCTGAGTTCTAAGCCTAGAACTCTTCTTTATCATGATGTGGGTGCATGTTTTAATTAGTGAGGGGAAGTGGGCCTTGGGTACCCAGTAAAAGAGGATATGAAAGGAATTTGAAAACTAACCCAATGAAAGAAGATAAAAATGGGACTGACAGGAGCAGGACAAGTTTGAAGAAGGAAAACACTGAGAGGTATAGGAAGAAGAATTTTAGAAGTCAGCTCAGAGCCGGCGCCGTGGCTCAATAGGCTAATCCTCCACCTTGCGGCGCCGGCACACCGGGTTCTAGTCCCGGTTGGGGCGCCGGATTCTGTCCCGGTTGCCCCTCTTCCAGGACAGCTCTCTGCTATGGCCAGGGAGTGCAGTGGAGGATGGCCCAGGTGCTTGGGCCCTGCACCCCATGGGAGACCAGGAAAAGCACCTGGCTCCTGGCTCCTGCCAGGATCAGCGCGGTGCGCCGGCTGCAGCGGCGGCCATTGGAGGGTGAACCAGCGGCAAAGGAAGACCTTTCTCTCTCTGTCTCTCTCACTGTCCACTCTGCCTGTCAAAAAAAAAAAAAAAAAAAAAAAAAAAAAAAAAGTCAGCTCAGAATACTGGGATTCATGACATTTGTTTAAAGTTTGGATTTAATTTTTATTTACATATTATATTATTTGATATATTTGTCACAATTAATGAGCCATACCCAGTTTCCCCAGTGAGGGAAAACATGTAGTGTTTGTGTCTAGCTTATTTCACTTAATAAGATTACCTTCATTTCCACCCCCTTTTCTGCAGATGTCCGGATTTCATTTTTTTTTTTTATATTTTTTTTAATGAATATAAATTTCCAAAGTACGACTCATGTGTTACAATGGCTTCCCCCCCCATACCGTCCCTCCCACCCACAACCCTCCCCTTTCCCACTCCCTCTCCCCTTCCATTCACATCAAGATTCATTTTCGATTATCTTAATATACAGAAGATCAGCTTAGTATACCTTAAGTAAGTATTTCAACAGTTTGCTCCCACACAGAAACATAAAGTGAAAAATAATAGATGATTTTTTTTAAATGATGATGAAACGGATTTCATTCTTTTTATGGTTGAATAGTATTCCAATGTGCTTATATACCCATAACTTTGTTATCCAACTTGATTGATTCCGTATCTTGTCTATTGCGAACAGTGCTGCAACAAACATGGTAGAGCAGATAGCTCTTTGGTGCAATGATTTCATTTGTTTTGGAGATATACCTGGTAGTGGCATTCCTGGATAATATGGTAATTCTATTTGTAGATTTTTAAGAAGTCTTCATACTGTTTCCATAGCAGTTTTTCATTCTCACCAACTGTGCATATATAAGTTCATTTTTCTCCATTTCCTCATCAGAATTTCATACTCTCTTTTTAAAAATAGTTTACGAGTGCATTAGATTCTCAGGGCCACAGCATATGTTCCTAATAATGGGGTCCTACAGCACAATTCTCATCCATGTTAATGTGATATTATACAAATAGATTAGATCCAATATAGTTCATAGATAGATTTCTAACAATAAAATACATCCCATACTCCTTCATATTCTCTAAATTTTTGAGATTGTATTTTTTTTTTTTGACAGGCAGAGTTAGACAGAGAGAGACAGAGAGAAAGGTCTTCCTTCCATTGGTTCACCCCCCAAATGGCCACTACGGCTGCTGCCCTGCGCCGATCCGAAGCCAGGAGCCAGGTGCTTCCTCCTGGTCTCCCATGCGGGTGCAGGGCCCAAGCACTTGGGCCATCCTCCACTGCACTCTCAGGCCACAGCAGAGAGCTGGACTGGAAGAGGAGCAACCGGGACAGAATCCGGTGCCCCGACTGGGACTAGAACCCGGTGTGCCGGCGCCGTAGGCGGAAGATTAGCCCTATTGAGCCATGGCGCTGGCCCAAGATTGCATATTTTTAATTTACATTATAGTCAATGCTTAATGTGCCACTAAATAGTTCAACAAGTGAAAAGAATATGAAGTAGTTATTGAGTTTCTTGAGTTTCTGATAGTTTCCAGGCATTTATCCTTCAATAATTAGTTTGTGAATATTTTCTACCATTCTGTTAGATGTTTCTTTACTGATTGTGCAGAAGGTTCTAAGTTTGGTGATCTCATATATCCAGTTTTGCTTTTGTTGCCTGTGCTTTGGGGTCTTGTCCAAGAAATCCTTGCCCACGTCAATGTCTTGAAGTGTTTCCCCTCTGTTTTCTTCTAACAATTTCATAGTTTCAGGTCTCACATTTAGGCCTTTAATCCATTAATCCTACATACTTATCTCCAGTGTCCCAGCACATTTGTTGAAAAGACTGTCTTTACTCCAACGTATATATTCCTGGTATCTTAGTAAATCATTTGGCTGTATGCATGTGGATTAATTTCTATACTGTTTTTTGTTCTGTTGGTCCATGTGTCAGTTTTTATGCCAGTACCAAGCTATTTTAATTGCTTTAGAGTTTTAATGTGCTTTAAAATGATACTGTGATGTTTTCCAACTTGGTTTTTGTTTGTTTCTTCCCTCAGAATCACTGTGGTTCTTCTGCTACATTTGTGACTCCTTGTGAATTTTGCGGTTTTTTTTTTTTTCTAGTTCTGTAAAGAATGGCACCAGTATTTTGGGAGGGATTGTCTTGAATTTATAGATTGCTCTAAGTATTATGGACATTTTAATGATATTCTAATCCACAAACAAGGATTATTTTCCATATTTTGGTGCTTGATAATTTCTTTCATCAGAGTTTTATAATTTGCATTGTAGAGATCTTTTGTTTCCTTTGTTAAATTTATTCCTAAATATTTAAATTGTTGTAGCTTTGTGAATGTAATTCATTTCTTGATTTCTCTTTCATAAGATCATGGCTAGGGCATTAAAATATTTTTTGTATGTTGATTTTTACATCCTTTGACTTTACTGAATTGATTTATCAGTTCTAACACCTTTTTGGTAGAGTGCTTAGATTTTTTTATGATAAACAGGTTTGATAAAGATAAATGACATGGCCGGTGCCGCGGCTCACTAGGCTAATCCTCCGCCTAGCGGCGCCAGCACACCGGGTTCTAGTCCCGGTCGGGGCGCCGGATTCTGTCCCGGTTGCCCCTCTTCCAGGCCAGCTCTCTGCTGTGGCCAGGGAGTGCAGTGGAGGATGGCCCAGGTGCTTGGGCCCTGCACCCCATGGGAGACCAGGAAAAGCACCTGGCTCCTGGCTCCTGCCATCGGATCAGTGCGGTGCGCTGGCCGCAGTGCGCCGGCGGCGGCCATTGGAGGGTGAAACAACGGCAAAGGAAGACCTTTCTCTCTGTCTCTCTCTCTCACTGTCCACTCTGCCTGTCAAAAAAAAAAAAAAAAAAAAAAAAAGATAAATGACATGAATAAAGGAAGAAAGATACAGGGTACCCTGGAAAGCCATATTAGGCAAAAGAGGTCTCTGAAGAGGTCTCCGGTTTTTGGTTTGTTTAAGTAGAGGAATTGATAAACCTTAAGGTTTCTATTGAAAGTTGTCCAGATATTTTTAGACACTTGGAAGGGTCTCTATTATAGTTTTGCAATGTAGTATTGTCTACTTTGACACCTACTTACTGAGAGTAGTGTATAGCCCCTTGAATAAAATGGGACTGCAAGTTGCTGAACTACATAGAACTATGGCCCAATTCAGATATCCCCTCACCTCTACCTCTTTCCTTAAATTTTTGATGTCCTTCCCATATCCATTCAGGGTTAGGATAGTGGTAGGATTGGCTGGCAAATCAGTTCTAGAGCTTCAGTGGGTTGTTGGTTTTGTGTCTTTGTTGGAGGCAGATGCCTGAGACTTCATTTAGCTTGTTTTGTCGAGGGAATAGTGCCTGATCTTGTATCTTTGAGCCCATCCTTAGGATTCTATTCCAATGGAAAATATTCTATTCCTTGTTGGATTAATATGTAAAGGTTTTAGACTGCCTGTGTTTGTCAGTTTCTTGTTACTTTAATTAAAATACTAGAGTGGGGCTAACATAATGGAAAGATGTTTACTTTGGCTTAGTTTTGAGGTTCTCAGTCTAAGACCAGATGCCACTATTACTCTAGTACCTTGAGAGGGTAGTGGATGGTGAAATGGGTGCATAGGGAGAAAGGCATGGCGATGCAGAAATCAGGGAGAGAATAGCTGTATACCATTCAACCCTGTCAGGAGAACTATCTTCAGAGGAGAGGCCCCAGTGACCGCTAGGCTCCTGAGCTAGATCCCATAATTTTATTGTCTCCACTCTTAATATTTTTGACTATTAACATCAATCATGAAATAATAGTTTCTGGGCATAAGCCACAAATACTTGGGTATTTGATACCCAAACTATTATCATTCATTCATTATTTATCATTTATTATCTCAGTGAGGTGAGAGAGGTGGAGGCAGAAATAGGCAATGGAAAGCTTTTCTACAACAAAAGTGAAATTTTAATCATCACAAAACATATGTATGCATAGCTGGCCTTTTACCTATTTTTTGTGGAAAGAATTTACCCCTTTTACTTTTGCTGTAAAGGTTTTGGAACAAACTTGATGTTGCTGACATATTGACTGCTTTGGATGCACAAGACTCCAGTATGGCCAGTGCCACGGCTCAATAGGCTAATCCTCTGCCTGCGGCGCCAGCACACTGGGTTCTAGTCCTGGTCGGGGCACCGGATTCTGTCCCAGTTGCTCCTCTTCCAGTTGCTTAATGTTTCTTTTATTGAGTTATTCATGAATGGGGTTATATTGTATTTATATATTTATAATCACTGTATTAATTATTCTCATTAGTGGTCTGAATATTTTATAGATATGATGAAAATCTCTCTGTGTCTCTGTGTGTGTGTGTGTGTCTCTCTCTCTCTCTGTCTAATTCTGCCTGTCCAAAAAAAAAAAAATCTTAGGAGAAGATGAAGCTCTAGAATCAACTTTGGATCCTGAGGTATTGTCTCTTGTTAGAATTTTTAAATATAAGTGTTACATGGTGTTAAAAGTAGAAAAAAGAGAGCCCCAGCTGAGCTGAATAGGAGCGGTAAAACATGAACGGAAGAGTGGATTATTTAATCACCAAGGAAGAAACCAATCTTACCAGAGGACCCTCAGGGCTGGGCTTCAACATTGTCGGTGGGACAGATCAACAGTATGTCTCCAATGACAGTGGGATCTATGTCAGCCGCATCAAAGAGAATGGGGCTGCAGCCCTGGATGGGCGGCTCCAGGAGGGTGATAAGATCCTCTCGGTAAATGGCCAGGACCTAAAGAACCTCCTGCATCAGGATGCTGTAGATCTCTTTCGTAACACAGGCTATGCTGTGTCCCTGAGAGTACAGCACAGGTTACAGGTGCAGAATGGACCTCTTGCACATCGAGGTGAAGGGGAGCCAAGTGGCATTCCCATGGCTGTGGTTCTGGTGCCAGTGTTTGCCCTCACCATGGTGGCAGCCTGGGCTTTCATGAGATACCGGCAACAGCTATGAAAAGTTTGCTTTCCTCCAGTGCTCCCATTGAAAATACATTTCTCTAGCCCTCTTCCACTACCATTCTACCATATCTTTCTCTACATAGCCAACACATGATTTAAAGTGACCAATGCCCACCTATAACTTTGCTGTTCAAAATCGCCAAATCTTCATATTTTAATGGGAGAGTAAAGATATTTTTTGAAGGAAAGCTGAAGAAAATATTGCTTAGAGCAAAAGAAGAGATACATATTTCACTAGGTCTTCTGATAGAAATGTCAGCTGCCACCCAAAGAGAGAAAGGTCCTGACTTCCTATCACCATGGGTGATACTTTATTTCTAAGCTGGCATGCCTCAACGTCCAGCTGTATGATATGAGAAGAAGAAAGGAATTTTCTTTATAATGATCTTCCTAGGGAAATTTTTGTGGCCTTTATTTCATTTCTAACTACATACCTGTGTGCCGATATTAGACAAAGAAGAGTGAAAAGAGCATTTTTACTTTTTTGTACAAGATAAATACATAGATAAAGTACACATACATATACATGTATGATAGTGTAGTAGTAATGCCTTATGAAGAACTGAAGAGGTGAGGTAGTTGCTCTGGTTTCAAGGTTTCTGATCTAAGGCATGACCTTAATTGAAGAATTTAAAGAGATATTTGTAAGCATGTATAGTATGAACCAGAGAGTGAGCCTTAAAAGAGAATGCCCAGTCTAGGGCACTAAAATACTCAATCAACCAATTAAAGTTCTTGGAAGGACAAAATTTTTTCTCCTAATAGCTGTGGTGAAACTGAGGCAAATTTCCATAATCCAGTTCTCAATCTTTAAAAAAAAAATAAAAAAAACCTTTCAGGTATAAAGATAAATACGGTAGTAAAGATAAATATGGAACCTTCGGGCTTCACTTTTGACATTTGTGGTACCTCACAGGGCTGTGAAAGTGTCAGCTGGAATGATTGTGGTCAGGGCTGTGGCAGTAGGGCCAAAGCAACCCAGCAAGAAAACTCTCGAAGGACAAAAGACAGTGCTTCCCAGGGTAGCACCTGAACTCTCTCAAGCTGTTTACCAGCTTTTTAAATTTCTAGTACTAGGCAAAATTTGAGAGAAGGAACTGCATCTCAGCCAGGATGGGCATGAAATCAACTGTTTCTGATTGAGCTACACTGGAAGGGCCTTACTGCTAAGCTTTAGTTCTGAACACTGGTGATGGCCTTTCATCAATAAACTGTTTCTCAGGAAAAGGAAGGGAAAGTTTTCTGTTGTTTTAGGGTGTAGAGAAATTTGGTGGGTATTTCATGGAGAAACCCCAGAAGGAGGATATGGATGCTAGAGAATACCAAAAATGTGATGTCCTTCAAACTGTGTTGGTTTTAAAGCACGGAGGATTAATAACCACGGTTAATGTTTTGGCTTTAAAAAATAATTTTAATTGTCTATATACTGGTCAGACTGTAAGCCCTATATCATTCTGATTGCAACATTATGAGGACTTTACCGCAGTCTGGCAATTATTTACCAAATATTGACTCAACATCAGCATTGCCAAATACTTTTGCAAAGAAGTAAAATGTATAGCCTCCATTCTAAAGAGCTTTTGGGTTCTGGTTGGGAAGAGAATACTTAAAATAGAATTAGCAACATAGGTAGAACAGTATATATAAGTTAGTGTCAAATTTATATCAAAGATAGCAGAAGAAAAAAAGTTACTGAGAAATGGGGCACTTGACAATGTCCCATAGAGAAGGAACAAGTTAAGGTGACCCTTGGGGGGTCACAGTTTAAGAAAATTCATAGTTAATTCATAAAAAATTAAAAGTATATCATTAAGTTAACAATTGTAATTAGTAATGAAAACTGATACCATGCACAAATTGATGCAGCAGCAAAGAAGATATGCAGGTGACCATCTCTTTTTTTTTTTTAAGGAATTCAGAAAAAGAAAACTGTCTCATAATGGTGTCAGGCTACCTTGGAAAGGGCAAGGTTTTAAGATTAAAAGGTCCAGTAAGACCTTGTTCTGTATCAACTGTTGATATAGAGAGAAACTTGTTTTAAACAATCCTGTCATGTATACCCTTTGAGCTGAGCTGTTCAGCCCCCCTAAGACTTACTTAGACAAGTGGACTCATCTAGATTCCAGAGAGAAACACTGACAGTATTCGAGTTCTCACCTCTGCCAGCCCCACTGTGGAGGTACTAACTCTAGGTCCTCCCTGTCTCTGAAGGCACATGTAGCAGCATCCACAAAGGGCATGCTTACCTCCCAGAAGTCACCTCAGGACTTGGACAGTAACTTCTGGGAGGACCTTCAGACGCACAGACTGAAGCAAATGACAAGCAGGAAAGAGCTATTTAGTTTTTTTTATTGGTATATGTAAATTTAGAATACACCTATTCCATCATTAGTAGAGGCTTTGCTTTGGCTGATAATGGATTCTGATGTACTTTGATGATTTAGGTTTTCTTGGAAATTAAAGAAAGACCAAAGTATTAATGATTTAGGCAAATATACTATTCAATTTATTCTTCTGATTTTGTGAAAACAAATTATTATCATAGATGAGGTATTAGAATCTATTACAGGTTGTAACAAAAAAACCTCATGTTCTTTAAAGATATATCTAATTAGGTTATATCTAGTGTTCCTACCAGCTAAATTATTATGTTCAACATTTTGAAAATTGAATGGAAGTATTTTTAAGACATGATACTAAAAACATTTCTCTATTTATCATTTTGTGTTATGTATATATAATTCTAATAAGATATTGTTTGTTCAAAAAAAGTAGAAAAAAGAATGCTTTTTTTGCTTTGAAAAATTATTTGAGAGGCAGAGGAACAGAAGATACAGACCCACAGACAGAGCTACTTTGTGCTAGTTCTCTGTCCTAATGCCTGCAATTGCTGGAGCAGTGCCAGGCCAAAACCAGAGCCAGGAAACAGAAACTCACTCCAGGTCTTCCTCAGGGATGCAGGGATCCATCACCTGCTGCCTCCCTCAGTCTGCATTAGCAGGAAGGTGTAAACAGGATCCAGAGCCCAGGATGGAAACTAAGGTCTCTCCTTGTGAATGTAGGTGACCTCCTTGGTATCTGAGCTGCTGGGCAAATGCCCATGAAGGAGTTGGTTTGGCTTTCTTCCTTCTGTGTTCAGCCTATACCAATTACCTCCATACATTTTCATCTTATAATCTGTAATTTGTTGTGCTGTATGTATTATATTGTTACATTTGTGTTGTTCTACAAATGTGTATGATGCATCTATATGACACCAGTTATCAGAATGAAAAAAAAGTAATGCCTAGATAACACAGGAAATCAGTTTGGGTTCTTAAATTCACTGTATCTTTTTTTTTGTTTTTGACAGAGTAAGACAGTGAGAGAGAGAGAGACAGAGAGAAAGGTCTTCCTTTGCCGTTGGTTCACCCCCCAAATGGCCTCTATGGCTGGCGCCCTGTGCCAATCCAAAGCCAGGAGCGAGGTGCTTCTCCTGGTCTCCCATGCAGGTGCAGGGCCCAAGTACTTGGGCCATCCTCCACTGCACTCCTGGGCCACAGCAGGAGAGCTGGCCTGGAAGAGGGGCAACTGGGACAGAATCCGGTGCCCCAACTGGGACTAGAACCCGGGGTGCTGGTGCCGCAGGCAGATGATTAGCCTAGTGAGCCGCGGCACCAGCCTCAGTGTATCTTTCTAAAAAATAAAGGAGTATTCCAACTGAACCTATACCAAATGTATTATTCTTGTATCTATGGATGACTAGTCATACTAGTGATATTTAAAGAGAAACCATGGGACTGTCCTAATTGTTTTGTTTTATAATTTTGATCTTGAAATGAACTGCCTGAAATTTCACAGCATTGTTACTATATTGGATTGTTACTATATTTGGATTGCCAATTATTGATATGCAAGAAACCTTTCCAGACAAAGTGCCCCATGCATATATGCCCTATGCATAATATATGGGACTATAACAGTGCTAGTTTGGCTCTGTGATGTTTTAACAAATAGAAACCATTCTGAAAATAATTGAGTACTTATTTGGTTTTTTATGTAATAGCAACATAATTTTAAAATAATGATGATTTTTGTTTGATGACAACTGTACAGTAAGATAGAGCAAGACTCAGCTCGTTGGCTATCTGGGTCTTTTGTGGTTTCATGTAAATTTTATGATTGTGTTTTGTAATGAATATTATTAGTATTTTGATAGAATATATGATATAAATGGGAGTTGAATCTTACAACTTTTTTCTGCATCTTTTGTGGTGCTCATATTGGTTTTGTTTTACATTATGTTCATTTGATTTACCTCATGTTTAATTTGAAAATATTGAACCATCCTGGCACCCCTGGAATAAATCCCAGTTGGTCCTGAAGTCTGATGTTTTTGATGTAGTGTTGGATTCAGCCTGCTAATATTTTGTTGAGTTTTTGTATTTGTGTTTATTGAGGGTATTTTTCTATTTGTGTTGTGTCTTTGGTTGTAGTTTCAGAGTAATGCTGTCCTCAGAATTTGCCAGAGTTCTATTTATTTCAATATTTTGAAATAGCTTGAGCGGCATTGCAATTAGTTCTACTTTACCTGTTTTACAGAATTCAGTTGTAAAGTCATCATGTCCTGGAATTTACTTTGGGAGACTTTTAATTAGTTCTTCAATTTAATTGCTTGTTATTGGTCTGTTAAGATTTGTTATATCTACCTTATTTATGCTTGTGTGTGTATATCCATTTCTTCAAAGATTTACAATTTGTTAGCAAGTAGTATTATGATCCTTTGTATTTCTGTAGTACACATTGTAATGGCTTCTCTTTAATCTCTGATTTTACTTGCATTTTATCTGATACTTTAGCAAAAGACTTTTTACCTTTCTTTAAGAACTTTTCATTTTATTGATCCTTTATAGTGTTTTTAATTTCTATTTTACTTCTTTTCCTATTCTTGTTATTTGTTCTTCCTGCTAATACTGGATGTGGTCTGTTCCTTCTTTTCTAAGACTTTCAGATGTATTGCTATATTTTTAAATTTAAAATATTTCTATTTTTGAAGTGTATATACTTCTGGGTGTAAATATTTTTTATTAATACTGCCTTTACTGTATCCCATATCTTTTGAGATGTTGTGTTATCATTTGATACAAGAAAATTTTTGATTTTCCTTTTAATTTCTTCAGTGATGTGCTGGTCTGTCAGTTCCATGTCTTTCCCAAGTCTTTTATTTCTTTTGTTGTTGATTTCAACATTTATTCTTTCATGTTCTCAGAAACTATGTGGTATAATTTCAAGTTTCTTAAACTTTATTAACTTGATTTGTGGCCTAAAATATGCTCTGTCCTGGAAAGAGATGCATTTGATTATAAGAATGTATATTCTGTAGCTGGTGGGTGGTATGTTCTGTAAATAACTGTATGTCCATTTGCTATATAGTATGGTTCAACTCTGATGTATCTTTGTTGAATTTATGTCTGTATGATCTGTCCGCTTATGAAAGTGGGGCATTGAAATCCTTTAGTATTAGTATTGGGTTGTATCTCTCCTTTTAGTATATTAATATTTGATTTACATATCTGGGTTGGTCTAGAGTTTGTTGTATTTGTATTCTTGAGTGTTAAGTATTCTTGTTTTATCAATCCTTTATCAATATATAATGTTCTCCTTTGTCTCTTTTTATGGTTTTTAATTTAAAGTCTCTTTTTAATCTGATGAGTATAGCTATTTCTGTTGGTTTTGGTTTTCCATTTGGATGGTATGACTTTTTCAAACCCTTAACTTTCAATTTGTGTGTGTCTTTACCTGTGTTATAAGTTTCTTGTAGGCAGCATATGATTTCCTTGTTTTTTTTTTTTTGGTCCACTCAGCCAACCTATGTTTTTCAAATGGGAAATTTAATCAGTTTATAGTCAAGGTTAATATTGAGAGATAATTTTGTTGCTTTCTTATTGTTTGTGTATTTTGGTTTGTATTACCTCCCATTGTTTGTTATTGCATTTTGGAAGCTTTCTATCATTTCACAATAATATAGAATTTCCTTTGTCTTTTGTGTATCTACTCTGTTAGTAAATTTGGTACTGTTGTCTATTTTTATGATTATTATAAATCATGTCACTTTTAATGTAGTACTCCTTTGAGGATTTCTTGTAGGTATGTTCTAGTGTTGAAGACTTCTCTAAAGTTTTTGATTTTATGGGAAATGTTTTATTTCTCCTTCATTTGTAAAGGGTATCTTCACTTGGTATAGTATTTGGGTTTTGATTTTTTTCTTTAAAAACTTGAATGTATCATCATCCCATTTTCTTCTGGTATGTAGAAGTCAGGCTGAGAAGTCATTTGTTAGTCGAGTGATTTTCCTAATCTTTTTTATTATTTTTTTAATATTTTATTTAGTAAATATAAATTTTCAAAGTACAGTTAATGGATTACAATGGCTTCCCCCCCATAATTTCCCTCCCACTCACACCCCTCCCATCTCCCGCTCCCTCTCCCATTCCATTCACATCAAGATTCATTTTCAATTATCTTTATATACGGAAGATCAATTCAGTATATATTAAGTAAAGATTTCATCAGTTTGCACCCACACAGAAACACAAAGTGAAAAATACTGCTTGAGTACTAGTTATAGCATTAAATCATAATGTACAGCACATTAAGGACAGAGATCCTACATGAGGAGTAAGTGCACAGTGACTCCTGTTGTTGATTTAACAATTGCCACTCTTAATTTTTGACACCAGTAATCACCCAAGGCTCTTGTCATGAGCTGCCAAGGCTATGGAAGCCTCATGAGTTCACCAACTCTGATCTTATTTAGACAAGGCCATAGTCAAAGTGGAAGTTCTCTCCTTCCTTCAGAGAAAGGTACCTCCTTCTTTGATGGCCCGTTCTTTCCACTGGGATCTCACTCGCAGAGATCTTTCATTTAGATGAATCGTGTAATGTTTTGACGCTGAGCGTTCGCTACGAAATCTTGTTTTTCAATGCCTGCAAAACTCTCATGGTTGTTTTGTTTGTTTGTTTGTTTTGTTTTTTTGTTTTTTGTTTTTTGGACAAAACACAGCTTTATTTTCAAAGTGCATCACATTTCCCCTCGCTATGCAAAGCCCTCTCTTCTGCTTACCCTGTTAGGAAATTCATGATTTGGAGAGCATATGGACGATTGCTTTCTCATTCTGTGGTTCCCAGGTCCCTGGAGGGTACCATAAATAGCACCTAAGGGGTTGAAGGGAAGGCTAGATTTTCTGAACTCTGCTGTATAAACAACCTCATATACTCCTCCTCCAGCACATACACACACACACACACACACACACACACATCACACACACATCACACAGGACTTCTATTTAGCCTTGAGGTTAAGCACCAGGATGGGAGACTCAGACTGTCTGTCTTCCACTAGCTGTGTGGCCTTGAATAAATGTGTCAACCTCCTTGTGCCAAAGTTCCCTCACCTGTAAAACAGCACTGACAACAAAATCTCCTGTTTTATGGAATCATTAAGACTGGGAATTACATGACGTAACTCTAATTGTGCAATGATTGTCCATTAGTGGTAGTACCATTTTAGTCCTAGATATTAAGGATTTGAATATGGTTTATCTCAACACTAAAGAGTTCCACTGCCAAAATAAAAAGGAAAAACGACCATTATTGTAATACAATCCTCTTCTATTACTGAAGCCACTGAGACTTGGAGAAGTTAAATGACTTGCCTAGGATCATTTGTTTAGTGGTGGATTGAGATCTAGACATAGGGTCCCAGGCAATCATGGTAAAGTTTTATGAACTCACCATTCACAAAGTTTCACAGCTCAAAATAACTTTACCTGAATGTTTATTAAGCTGGCACCAGAGACCAACTGCCCATATTATTTTATTATCAGCAGACACTGGTCTTATTTATGTGATCCCTTTGACAATTAGTCCTATCTTTATGATCAATTATAAACTTAAATTGATCACTTTAACTAGTTAAATGGCATTGGTACATGCCAACTTAATGGGATTTAGAGTGCCATAGCACAATTCTAGCTCTACCATTAGGGGTATGTCCGAGTGTGTATGTGCCAAGCTGTACATCTCCTCCCTCTCTTATTCCCACTATTATTTTTAACAGAGATCAATATTCAATTGAATTTAAACACCTAAGAATAATTGTGTGTTAATTAAAGAGTTCCACCAGTGGTATTAAGTAGAATTAAAAAAAATTAAAAGGAATAAAATAGTAAGCTGTCCCTCGACAGTCAGGACAAGGGCTGATAAAGTCATTGTTTCTCATAGTGTCCATTTCACTTCAACAGGTTTCCTTTTAGCTGCTCAGTTAGATGTCACCAGTCAGGGAGAACATATGATATTTGTCCCTTTGGGACTGGCTTATTTCACTCAGCATGATGTGTTCCAGATTCCTCCATTTTGTTGAAAATAGCCGGATTTCTTTTTTTTTTTTTTTACTGCTGTATAGTATTCTACAGAATACATATCCCATAATTTCTTTATCCTGTCTTCTGTTGATGGGCATTTAGGTTGATTCCATGTCTTAGCTATTGTAAGTTGAACTGCAATAAACATTGAGGTGCAAATAGCTCTTTTATTTGCCAATTTAATTTTCCTTGGGTAAATTTTGAGGAGTGGAATGACTGGGCCGTATGGTATGGCTATGTTCAGATTTAGAGGTATCTCCAAACTTTCTTCATTAGTGTTTTTACCAGTTTGTATTCCCACCAACAGTGGATTAGTGTTCCTTTTCCCCACATCCTAGAAAGCATCTGCTCTTGGTTGATTTGTGTATGTAAGCCATTCTAACCGGGGTGAGGTATAACCTCATTGTGGTTTTGATTTGCATTTCCATGATGACTAGTGATCCTGAACTTTTTTTCATGTGTCTGTTGGCCATTTGGATTTCCTCTTTTGAAAAATGTCTGTTTAAGTCCTTGGCCCATCTCTCAATTGGGTTATTTGCTTTGTTGTGGTGGAGTTTCTTGATCTCTTTGTAGATTCTGGTCATTAATCCTTTATCAGTTGCATAGTTTGCAAATAATTTCTCCTATTCTTTCAGTTGCCTCTTCACTTTCCTGACTGTTTCTTTGCAGTTCAGAAACTTCTCATTTGATGTAATCCCAATTGTTAATTTTGGCTTTGACTGCCTCTGCCTCTGGCGTCTTTTCCAAGAAGTCTTTGCCTGTGCCTATATCTTGCAGAGTTTCTCCGATGTTCTCTAATAATATGATGGTGTCAGTTCATAGATTTAGATCTTTAATCCATGTTGAATGGATTTTTGTGTGATGTGTAACGTAGGGGTCTTGCTTCATACTTCTGCATGTGGAAATCCAGTTTTCCCAGCACCATTTGTTGAATAGAGTGTCCTTGCTCCAGGAATTGGTTTTAGCTCCTTGATCAAATAAAAGTTGGTTGTAGATGTTTGGATTGATTTGTGGTGTTTCTGTTCTGTTCCATTGCTCCATCCATCTGTTTCTGTACCAGTACCATGCTGTTGTGATTATAACTGCCCTGTAGTATGCTGCTGTGGCAGCTTTTGTCGTTGTACTATGACTCTGTAGATAAGTGGACTGTCTGCTTTCAGTGAATCGCTAGAGGCTTGTGGTAGGTATGGTCAGAGATCTCTGTTCAGTTTCAGGGTTAAGGGTATGCCTAAGGTGACACACCCAGTTTTGGCATGGTGTCTCTCAATGACTAGCTAGGGCCGCAGGAACCAGATTCCCCGGCAGTGTCACTCACCGGGTAGCCAGGGCCGCCAAGCTTGTGGCGTCTCCCACTGAGACTACTCAAAGTCTCAGCCACAATGTGAGTTCACCCACACACCCTTAATTTTTTTTCCCCACATTCCTGGTTCAGAAGCTTTGAATGAACCTTAATTAAAAAGCTCCACAGAAAATAACTAGTATTTGCTATAAAATTCTCTAGCTTCTAATTTTCCTAACTTCTTCTAAAACAATTTGCATACATAATTGATGAATTTATTAAACCTTTGTCATATCACTTCTTGGCCTTTTGGCTAAGATCTAGTATAGACCTTTGTCATGGTTTTCCCTTATTTCTTGATTGCCTTTTAATTTTGTTTATTCTTTGAGTAATAAAAAAGTTTTATGGCTTGAGAAAAGATTCAGTTTTATGACATCAATCCAAGTTGATATGAGTCTTTTCTAAAAGTAATTTTGGCCAGCGCCATGGCTCAATAGGGCTAATCCTCCGCCTACGGCGCCGGCACACTGGGTTCTAGTCCCAGTTGGGGCACCGGATTCTTTCCCGGTTGCTCCTTTTCCAGGCCAGCTCTCTGCTGTGGCCTGTGTCGCTCCCCCTCTTCGTGGAGGAACGACACTAAACCCTGCCTAGGCTTCATATCCGAGTCACGGCACCATTATGTCGCTCCCCCTCTTCGTGGAGGAACGACACTAAACCCTGCCTAGGCTTCATATCCGAGTCACGGCACCATTATGTCGCTCCCCCTCTTCGTGGAGGAACGACACAGGACCCTGCGCTGTTCTTTTGTCTGCTCGGCCCTCCCCGGGTTTGCTGCTGGTTCTTCCCGGGTTGGCTACTGTCCCTTCCACCTCCGTGGAAGGGCGGTTCCCCCTGGCCACATTCCCCACTTCCGCGGGGGAGCGGCACACCGCCGGCCGGCTCTCTCGGGGGCTGCACAGGTGTTCCCCTTAGATGTTCCCCTTAGATGTTCCTGGTGCATGCCGTCTCTCTCCTCCTTTATAGTCCTCCTCTGCCAATCCCAACTCGGCTGCCCACACGCTGAGTACGCTGCTCTCCTCCAATCAGGAGCAAGTCCTACAGTTTATTGGCTGAACTGGAGGCAGCTGTGTAAAAGCTGTTTTCTTCTCTCCCAGCGCCATATTGTGGGAGAGCAGATGCATAGAATAAGTCTTAATTCCAGTAACTTAGTCTAGTCCGGGTTGCTCCCCACAGCCTGAGAGTGCAGTGGAGGATGGCCCAAGTGCTTGCCCTGCACCCGCCTGGGAGACCAGGAGAAGCAACTGGCTTCTGGCTTCGGATCAGTGCAGCGCGCCGGCCGCAGCAGCCATTGGAGGATGAACCAACAGAAAAAGAAAGACCTCTCTCTCTCTCTCTCTCTCACTGCCCACTCTGCCTGTCAAAAAAATAAATAAAATAAAATAAAAATATTCCCACATTCAACATGATGCAGACTGTGGCTTTTACCATTTATTGCCTTGATTATGTTGAATCTTCTATACACAATTTTAAGTTTTTTTTTTTTAATCATGAAAGGATATTGTATTTTATCAAATACTTTCTCTGCATCTACTGAAATAATTATGTTTTTTTCTTCAGTTTGTTAATGTGATGGATCACATTT